AAGTGATGGGATTCTGAGTCTGGGGTAAATAGGAAGGATAAGTGGGAGAAGTAGCGGTGCCAGGTGGGCTTATTCCAATTAAGATAGAAAAGTGGGTTGGATGGATGGAGAGTTCGCATAGAAAAACATGATGGATATGGTGGGCAGATACTATCCATGGTTGGGGCTTTTTACCCTATAGAGGATATTAAGGTAAAAAAAAAATAATGTAGCAAGCAGATCACCCTACATTTTCCGGAGTTGCTACCACTAACGTTCTGAATGTGACTCACTGTTTCCAGCTGGTTTTGCTGAAAAGTGAGGATGGTGGATCTTCCTGATTTTTCTACTAGAAAGCTCAGCCCAGGAGACAGGGAAACTTCTGCAGCTGTGCCCCAGGGTCCAGCCTCCAGCTTTGTGGGAGCTGAGTCTTCCGATTTATTTGTTGAGTGTCTTCCTGACATGGTGCTCATCATTGGGTTGTTAAGTGGCAACTCCTAGTTTTTGAGTGCATTTCAGGTCCCGTTCCTATTTTTGTATGATGGTGGAGACAGCCTATCCTCCTACCCTCGCCCGGAGAGTTATCTCAGTGTAGAGCTGCTGGCCTAGGTGCCACTCCCTGGGGCACTTTCACAGATTTTGTGGAGTACCTAAGATTCTCTCTTGAATCTTTTTCTGCATAAAAATAGCTGGAAGGGCTTAGCACCTGTAGTTAAGGCACCAGTCACATATGCCAGAGCTGATGGGTTCAAATACAGCCCGGGCTCAAATACAGCCCAGGTCTGCCAAACAACAATGACAACTACAACCAAAAAATAGCCAGGCGTTGTGGCGGATGCCTGTAGTTCCAGCTACTTGGGAGGCTAAGGCATGAGAATTGCTTAAGTCTGGGAGTTGGAGGTTGCTATGAGCTATGACACCACGGCCCTCTACCCAGGACATCTTGAGGCTCTGTCTCAAAAAAAAAAAAAAGCTAGAACTTTTGTTTGTTTGTTTGTTTTGGTTCCTGCAAATTAAATCAGACTGAGTGTGACTGGCTTCATAGGATTTTGAGGATTAAATGACATAAATTTGTCCACTAAGCATTGGTACATAATGAGTACTTAATGAATAAATATTAGATAGTAGTATTTAGTTAAAATAAAGGAATAAAAGAATGGGAATAATAGAGAATTAGAAAGAGTATACTCGATTTAAAAAATTTTGAGACAGCAATGATTCTGGATAATGGAAAAATGCAGGTTGTGTTTGGGAAAATTGAAAAAGAAGGTGTCTTTTTCAAGGTGGTCCTTGAAATTGAAGGCCTGAATAAGGTTTGAGTATTAAAACAGCTGTTAAGTCTTTTTTTTAAGTTTAAGAGTGTCTACAGGATAAAACAGCTCACTATGGATGATATCTGCCCAGCATATCCATCCTAATTTTTTTAGTTTGTGATGTGATATATCTATACTTGGAAAGGCAGTAATGTTTCCGGTTTGTTTTTTGTTTTGTTCCAATTCCAAATTACTTCTCACTGCAATGGTTTTCAGCCCCCACCATTGTGCTGAATCTGTACTTGCTGAGATAGTTTTTGGCTCTTCAGTTGCCAAACTGACATTCATTTTCAACCCAGATTGTGATCTCCTGGTGGCCTTCAACTCTACTGGGCACTGGCATCAGCTGGGAACTCCCTCCTTGTTTTCTTCCCAGACTTACTCGCTCTTTGTCTTTTATTTTATTTTTCTGGTCCGTGTTTAGTAATCATTACTGTATTCTCATCTTTTATATTTGGGTCTTAGATTTTAGCATTCCCAAGGTTTCATTCTTGGCCATCTTTTGTTCTTGCTTTGCTTCTGATCAGATAGAAGCTATATAGAACCACACCCACATACTTGTACAGGTGGCTCCCATCTCGGCCTCACCTTGATCTTTGACCTTTCTCCCAACAGAACCTTTCTCTCTCCAGAATCTGTTGTCCAACAGTCTAATAATGTTCCTTCTATTTAGACATTCCCCACCCTATGGCTCACCACATTCACCATGTTTAGAGCTACTTGTTACCCCAAATCTGGTCATTTTTCTGTGTTGTCTTTGCATTCCCTTTCCTACCAAGCAACACTTTTGCATACCCAAGTTGGGATCGTAGAAGTCCTTGTTCCCTTCTTATATCCCCAAATGTGTCACAACATTCTGTGCATTGGAGCTGCTTAAAATCATTGGATTTTGTTCCCTTCTTGTTATCCCCACTGACCTGCCTTAGTTGAGGCTATATTGAGCCTCATATCATGAAACTGGCACTTTGGGTTGCTTCTTGGTCTGTGGGATTGCTCTCATTTTAATCCCATACACAACAACTGGAAGGATCATTCTCAAAAAGAGAATCTGATCATCTTAATCTTTTGCTTAAAAAGCTTCAGATGTTCTTCTCCTATTGTAAGGTTGGGCTCCTGACTCCCTCGCCAGTTTTATACCCAGCACTCTTGCTTACCCATCACCTCTGAACCAGAATGCTTTTGGCTGTTTTGTGTCTCTGAAGCCTTGTAGATGTTAGGTCAGGAATGTTCTTCTTGGTGCCTGGGATATAAAAGGCATTCAAATGTCGGGTACTATTATTATTTTCAGTGTTTTTTTTTTTTTTTTTTGCTGGGGTTGGGTTTGAACCCACCACCTTTGGCATATGGGGCTAGTGCCCTACTCCTTTGAGCCATAGCTGCCAGTCCAGGCTACTACTGAGTAGCTGCCAGTCCAGGCTACTACTATTATTAATGTTTTAATTTTAAATATTGTTAATGAGATATCATCTCCAAATTTTAAAATAAAAATCAATAATGACTTTAAAATAATGCTCCAGTGGTTCAGAATACAGGTAGTCCAAAGTACTGTAAAGGGACAGAGTAGCCTCAGCATCAAGGCTAAACTTTAATATGATTAAAATTTATATATCTTGAAAGAAAGAATGAGTCCATCAGAATAGGGACAACTCAACCACAGAATCATAGCAAAGGAAGTCCAGAGCTTGTACCTCACCAGGGGGTATATGGGGAAGACTGTCCAGGGAAGAGGTTTCCAAGTTCAAGGACTCAAAGTGTGTGCTTGTCTGTACCCTAAAGTAGGAGACATCATATCATTAGAGTCTTATACCTTTGCCCATCTGACTCTGTCTAGTAACTTCCATTCTATTTGGTAAGCAACTCTCTGACTATAATACTGGGTGTTTATGGGGAAATAATTTAAGACTTCCAGGAAGTGGTGTTTCACATTGAAAGTAAACAAATGCTCACTCTTGGCATTATTTATTGAGTTTCACCCTGCAAGGTAGATCCATTCACACTCTTTCCAGGGTGGAGAATGTAGTGCAATTCTGAATTGTTGCTAAGTGAGGAGAGAACTCAATATCTGGGAAATTAAATCTTTATTTTATTAGGAGTTTACATGTTTGTTTAATCTGTTGTAACATGAACTGCCTGAGGAAAGGGATCCCATCTCTGTGGGGTCTCCCGCAGAGCAGGAACTTAAAGGTCTGAATGAGTAAATGGACTCAATTAGCTAAACAGTCACTCTGAGGCCTGGGGTGTGGAGCTTCCTAAAAGATGAAGAACATGTTTGAGAATGAGTTCAGAAGTGGACCTGGCAGATGAGTGATGAGTGTGTGGCTAATAGGGATGCCAAAAGAAAGGCCTTCCTGAGACTGGTCTTCAAGTTAGGTGGGTGAAGGGCTGTGTGCTTGTTGATTGGGGGGGGACAACATGAGAAAGTGATGTGATATCCACTCTCTGTAAGACTGGCCGGCATATTTTTAAGTATCATTGAAATAGGAGGTTGGCAAAGAGTTATTTTGGATTCCTATCAAGTCTAACCCATGATGAGTGGAGAAGGTGAGGTTGGGCCCGTAACACAGTAGAAACCATCATTATTCACCTGGGCTTGCAGTCTTGGCAGAAAGGAGGGGTCCTCCACTGGGAGAGACAGGCCCCTCAGATGGAGGACATTCTAGTCTGCTCATAAGCTCCTGCTGAAAACCTTTATGACCTAGCCCAATGTTTCTCCATGAAATCTTTCTTCTAGCTACACTCCTCCCAACTCCTGTTACACTTGATGTTTATATCACTCATTTTAACATGTAAAATATTCTTTGTCAAACCTTCTGGCCTATCTATCTGTCGATATATAGACATGCAAGACGGGGCAAGGAATTCCTATTTTGTATATCTGTCCAACTATCTATCATATATCTGTCATATCTGTCTGTTTGCTTTCTACCTATCTATCCATCATCTTTGGATTAGATCATAACTTACGTAAGGCCATAGGGCTGCATAGGTTTCTTTCCTTCTTCTTCTTTTTTAGAAAAGTAAGTTTATTTCAGGTTAATTAATGGTACAAACAACCAGGTCAAAAAACTTGATTTTGTAGGTAGAGTCCCTCTTGTAGTTATGTCGCGGACATGGAGAGAAGGGAACACATATTTTTCTTATATCTCTCCATAGTTCATAGGATGGTGCTAATAGGAATGTAACTAGTACCCCCAGATACTCATTGAGTTTATTTGTTTGTTTTTATTTAGGACTGTGAAGAGATTAAAGGAGAGCGGTTCACTCCTTTGAGAGCCATGCTTACAGTGAACAATGTCTCTGTAGAGGACGGAGGGAACTATGCATGTAAAGCCAGGCTGAAACACATGGGGAAAACCTACACGGTTTTAAATGGCATCACTGTGAACACCAGTAAGTGAACTCCTCTCTGTCTTTTTGTCTTGCTCTTGGCTTTGTGTGAGCTGGCTTCAGGTTTCAGGCTTTGGGCTTTGGGTGGAAGTGATTCTGGATTTCTTGGTTTTCCTGAAGGTGAGTGGGCTCTCAAACCTGTCATTGTGAGAATGGAGGGTAGACAGAGTACGCATCTTAGTTCTCTTTCTGAAGAAACAGAACACTTAAAACTCAGGGTTTGTGAAATTAAATGAGTGTGTGTAGAGTAGCTACTGGGGTACCTGACAAAGTGCAGGTGTCTAGAAAATAAGAGCTATGACTCCCATCACTCTCAGTCCCTCAGGCTTCACTGTGACTATTTCCAAGGGCCAGTGCAGACATGGCCTCCCCTGGTGTGAGCACTGCAGAGTTCAGTGTCTCTGGATGTGGTTCCAGGAGAGCTTGCTGCTCATGGAGTTTTGGTTTTCAACCCAGGGCAGCTAACTCTCTTGAACATATGCCCTGGCAATTTGAAAGTAAAATTTTAGGGGTAGAAGAAAGCCCAAAAAGTTAGCTCAAGCCATTCATTTGGTAGAAGTCCAGGAGGGGAGCAACTTAGCCAAGTTCACAAAACTGTTGGTGTCAGAAACGAGGCCAGAACTTGGGGCCTTCAATGCCTGGGCCAGTATTTGTCTTTCTAAAAACTTTGATCAAGAAATCCCTGTTCGGGTGCCTTTTGCTTTTCCTTTACTAGAGAGTTGTTTTCTATATTTACTCTCCTAGATGGAAAGAACTAATCTAAGTATCAGTGCTGGATTCTTTTTCTTGTTTGTGTTAGATCTTTATATTTGTTACTGATTTCTGTCAGACTTCAAAGTACTAGGGGAGAGTGAGTTATCACTTGATGATGTGGCTCCGTGGGGGGCTTGTCCGGCAGGGCTGGCTCCCTATAGCCTCTCCAGGAGCAGGTCCTTCATTCTGTGGAGTCCAGCATCTTCCTAGGTCCCAGCTGTTCTTTTAGAGAGTTCTTCCTCTTTAGTCTCCTGTGTTCTTTGTTGCAATTATTTATTTGACTTAATTTATTTGATTTGATTTACAACAGTAAGGTGATCTTAAATTTTAATTTTCCTTGCTAAGAGCCCTTTAATTAAGAAAATCAATTGCATAAGATTTTATGATTATCATGCTGTTGGTTTTTCTGCAGTTATCTGTTTGAAAATAGGTATTTCCCTTATGTTCACAGTCAAATCCCTGACACCTAGCTCAGTTCCTGGCCTAGACTAGGTGCAGATCTATTTATTTATTGAAAGACTAGATTTTGTAATGCTTTAGTTTCATATTGGTAGCTCAGGGAATTTTTT